ATGAGGCGTTGAAAAGTCGCCGGAGCATTTCGCAGGCCAAAACTCATGACCCGGTAAGAATGTAATCCTGACGGAGTGACAAAAGATGAAATTTCTTGTGCTCTCTTGGTTAAAGGCACCTGCCAATAGCCCTTCAGCAAGTCAAACTTGCTGACGAACTTGGCTGAACCAACCTGGTCCACACAGTCCTCGACGCGGGGCAAAGGAAAACAGTCCGGTTTTGTTAATGCATTAACTTTACGGAAATCCGTACAAAATCTTACTGTACCATCTGACTTTCCAACTAAAATACACGGGGAAGCCCATTCAGAAAAAGAAGGTACTGCAATATCGTGATCCTGCATATACTTAATTTCCCTCTCCATCAATTCCCGTTTTTCAGGTGCAACACGATAAAAACGCTGTTTAATAGGTTTTGCATCCCCAACATCGATATCATGTTCAACCCAATCTGTACGCGATGGCACATCATCAAATAATTCGGGAAAACTATGTAATAGGTCACATAACTCCTGGCATCTTACAGGAGATAAATGACGGAGAGTAAACTCCAAGTTGTGCAAGGACTCTGAATTATTCAAACGGCCGCGAAAAACACAATCATCGGGCGAAATGGTCTCCTCTTCCTCACCCACCAAACTCATATTACCCCCACCGATAGAAACGGCCGAAAGTGCTGGATGCAAAGGTGTCAAATTTTCTACAGGTTTGGTTTCTTTTTCATAATACGGTTTTAATAGATTTACATGGCACCGTTTAACTGACTTTTTCCGTGATGGCATTGAGACATCATAATTTTCATCAGTCAACTTTCGTTGTACAACAAATGGGCCATCGAATTTTGCTTCAAAAGGAGAAGAAACAATAGGCCGTAAGACAAGAACTTGATCGCCTGGTACAAACACTCGATGTTCAACCGTACGATCATAGAATTGCTTCATGTTTTTCTGATTTTTTCCCAGATTTAATTTAGCTAGTTCTCTAACCTGGATGAGTCGATTTTTAAACCCCAAAACATATGACGCCAAGTTTTTAGGAGGCTCTACAGCTTTACCAACCTGCTGAAATACAGACAACAGTCCACGAACATTATGGCCAAAGACCAAGTCATTAGGGCTGAAACCCGTACTCTCCTGGACTACTTCACGTGCAGCTAACATCATCCATGGTAAACCCTCTTCCCAATCTCTATCCAGCTGCACACAGTACGCACGGAGAAGTGACTTTAACGACTGGTGGAATCTCTCCAATGCACCCTGACTTTGTGCATGATACGCAGTAGATTGATTATGCTTAATGTGCAGCTGTTTTAACACCTGCTGGAAGAGATGCGAAGTGAGATTCGAACCTTGATCACTTTGGATGATTTTTGGAATACCAAAAACGGATATAAACTGGGTTAAAGCTTTCACAATAGAACGAGACGTAATGGTACGCAGTGGATATGCCGCAGGAAAACGTGTGTTCAAACACATCACAGTGAATAAATAACTGCTACCAGACTTCGAACGGGGAAGTGGCCCTACGCAATCGACAATAAGATGCTCGAAAGGTTCACCAGTAGCCTGAATTGGTTTCAACGGAGCAGGTTTCAACACCTGGTTCGGTTTACTCGTTAATTGGCAGGTTTTACATCTCTTAATATAAGCAGAGATGTCTCGTTTTAATCGCGGCCAAAAAAAATATCGCAACAGGCGATCATAAGTCTTACGCACCCCCTGATGACCTAATTGATCATGCGCAATTTCAATCATCATTTGTCGAAATTTAGTAGGAACAACTACTTGGAAAACAGGATCCCCAACAAAATCTTTGTGAGGACTCCATTTTCTCAACAACACTCCATTGTGAACGAAATATCCACGGGAAACGTCACACTCCTCTACCGGAAGAACAGCACTCTGGAAGAGTTCATCCAAAGAGGAGTCAGTCCGCTGTTCTATTCCTAAATCCTCTGCAGAAACAGGAAAAGACAAGGCAGATAAATCAGGCATAAACAACTTAGTGCAGATTTTATCAGATTTTATCTCTTTTTGATCACACACTTCATCCTCATTGGCACGTTTCATTGCACGAGTCACAACACACGTTGAATCCTGGCACAAAGAACTCAGTTCAGTTTCAATTTTATTATCAGTGGTCACTATGGGAAACACTGACGTATCAGCCCACACACGTTCACCTACCAGTCCATTTCCCAAAATAATATGGACCCCCTCAACTGGCAAAGCTGGTCGTACTCCCACTACAACCTCACCTTGAATCAAATCGGACTGAAGCCTTACCCTATGAAGAGGCACAGACAGAGTATTCAGTCCTATTCCACGAATTAACACACTCTCACCAGTATGAGACTGCGAGGAAAAAGGCAATACGGATTCCAAAATAAATGAATCCATTGCGCCAGTATCCCGCAAGATTTTAACAGGGATTTCCTCTTTCTCTCCAACCAGGGATACACGCCCCTCTGTAATAAAAGGCGAGTAAGAAGAGAAATCAACATCAAGTGTTTTACTTTCAACAACTTCACTCCCTGAAGACAGAACTGGTGCCGCAAGAGCAGAAGGCTTAGCATGTGAATTTTGTGCATTATGTTTGAATTTATTTTTAAGGACAGGACAATCTGCTTTCCAATGTCCTTTCTCATGACAGTAATTGCAAATCTTGCTTGGGTCAAAATTTCCAGTGAAAACACGGTTACTCTTAGACGGAGACTTTACATACTGAACATCACGAGCATGCCAATCCACAAAAGTGGTTTTGTGCGTCAGTACAAAATCATCGGCCAACATTGCCGCTTCCTCTGGCGTTTTAACATTATGCTCACTAATATACATAGCTATACGGCTCGGGACGGAATTTTTAAATTGTTCCAACACCATCAAGTGAATTAAATCCTCCAATGTTTTAATGTCTAATGCTGAACACCAATGATTAAAGTGTTTTCTCAGATCACGCACAAATTCTAAGTTTGTTTGCAACTGGTCTTTTTTCTGCAATCGAAAACGCTGTCTGTATGCTTCGGGTACACATTCATATGCTTTTAAGATTAGAGATTTAACTTTATCATAATCTTTACAATCATCAACCGACAATGAAGAAAATGCTACTTGTGCTTTCCCAGTTAACACACACTGTAACAGCGCAACACAATCATCATCTGACCAGTTCCTTAATTTTGCCATGCGTTCAAATAGAGTAAAGAAAGTATCAGGATCTTCTTCATTGAATTTAGGAATAAGTTTTAGGTTTGAATTGATTGAAAACACACTCTGTTCCTGACCAGAACTAGAAAGCTTACCTTCTTTCATCAGGTTGAGCTTGAGAAACTCCAAATCCAATTTTGCCTTTTCTAAATCCATTTTACCTTGTTCCGCACGCAGTTTTAACTTCTCATGGTCCATCTTTAATTGTAGCAGCTCTTTTTGCTGTTCAAAAGACAAATTACTTTTTAATTCAGATGCCACTGGTACATATTCCTCCATCTCGGTGTCTAAGAAACCTTTTTCAATCAACTCAATTTTCAAAGCTACTTTAACATTATCTTTGAGCCTTTTATCTTTAATCACAATTTCATAACGTTCAGCAATACTTAATAATTGCTCTTTAGTACACCTGTCCAAAAATTCATGAGAAGGTGAACTAACAAACTCATCAATATCAGCCATGCTAAAATGACCAGAATAATTTATTCAGCACAGTGCAATCAAATAACGAGAGTTTTCCCTCTACCTTTCCAGTACCTCTACCTAACTCAACCCTAGTCTTCATGCGATTACTGGTGGGGGGTATTTATGCACTATAGCCCGCTGGGTGAAAAACGCAACTGGTCAAACCAGCGACGCCTTCAACACCACGGATGTGCTCCCGAGATAATTACTACTACCCACTTTCACCACAACACTACACAAAAATAAAAAATCCGACACGTCTCAAAAGAAACATGCCGCTATGCCTATCAGAGAAAACTCACGTTCAAAAAACAATATTGCACATGTACTTACCAACTGGTGATTTCACACGGTGAACAATTTGACTTTGGCACAAAAACATTTTTGTGTGTCCAACAAATAATCAATTATCAAACTAAACGTCCAAATTTTTTTTTTACGCAATCAAATAACCAAAGCAAGGACGAGCCCCCAATTTGTTACGACCCTTGGCTCAAGGGAAGCAACAAAAACAAGGGACACACGTAAACCAAATTGTAAGCTCAAAAGTAATGTTTATTTAACTACAAAAGTAAGACAAAACTAAATAATAAAATGAAAACATTTAAAGAAAATAGAAGTGTTTCTGTATTCATCAGCAAGATCAGTGTGTAAAGCAAGATGCATGGTCGAAAGTGTAATGCAATGTTGAAGTTGAAATGTAAATGCAAAAAGTAACAAAATACAACGCAAGCAAAAGGCAAAGTCCAAAAGCAAAATCCAAAACCAAAGTTCCCTCTCCCTTGGCTCAGTTGGTGATCTCTTAAGAAGCGTCTAAGGCACGGTCACAGGTGTTTCCAGTTGACTGCCAATTGAGGCAATTAGTGGGCTCCGGTACCAAACTGCAATTCTCAAAAGCAGTGGCAGAGGTCGTCACAGACTTCTGCCAGTAAACAACCACACTAAAAAAAAAAACTTGTCACACATTTTCTTCTAAAAATTAAAAAATCTGGTTTATACTGCAATTATCTAACAAAGGAAATTATTATGAAATTATTAATATTATTAAATCTATTAAACTTTTATGATGAAATGTTTTTGTTAAGGTTATTGTAAGGTTAAGCCAAAGAACTCTAAAGTGTATATTCCTCAACTGTGCACAATGTTAAAATGGTAAAAACAAGGCAATGGTCACCTATTCTCATTTGAGGCAACCAGACATTTCCTGTGCTCTGAGAGAGAGGAAGTGAGTTTTGGTTTTCTAGAAACATGTTTCGTTGAGCACTGTGACATATCTGCATTTCTGCTGGGGTTAACAGCATCATCAACCACAGTTACCAGGTCTGACGTGACATACAGGCAGAGTTTCCTGCATAGGTGCTGTAGTTTCTGAACAGACATGCACTTAGTCACTTGCTCAAGCGCAAGCAAACCACTCACACAGGTAAGAGTGCTATTCTTTTCTTGGAATCTTAGCATTTGTCCAATAGCAATTTAACAAGTTGTAGGAAAGATCAAGTAAGAACCTGTCAAAATACAGACCATTCTTTGACCTTTTCCCCTTTCGCTCCATTAGGATCTCTGTGTGTCAAGATTTTTGAGGAGCAGTGGTCAGCAAGTGTACACCAATTTTTTGGCTGTCACAATGCTGCAGGAAGGCAACTTAACCTTGAACGAATCCTGTAAGATTCATGATGGCATACTTTCACCCTTCGTGCCCATTGGCTACATTGTCATCTGTTGCATCGGTCTGCTCTGCAACACCATCACCCTTTACATATTTTTCCTTCGGCGGCATACAGACTCTTCCATGGCCGTATACATGCGGCATCTCGCCCTGGCAGACACTCTACTGGTCCTGTGTTTGCCCTTGCGGGTTTACTACCACAACAAAGTCGGTCCCTTCTACTTGTGCAAGGTGGTGGGCATCTTCTTCTACATCAACATGTATTCCAGCATCCTGTTCCTCAGCCTCATCAGTCTGGATCGCTACTTGAAAATCGTGAAGCCCGTTTGGGTGTTCCGCATCCAGAAGACCAAGTGGAGCTACATGGCAAGCTACATCATCTGGGGTGTCCTCATTTCAGGAATGATCCCCTTTTTGACAAGCGACAGTCAGAAACATCCGTGCGACAAAGTTTGCTTCCACTTTCACAGCAAGGGGACTGTCGGTGGGACCATTAACCTGACAACAGTGGTGATCTTCCTTGTTTTTTATGTGGCCTTTCTTTGTTTTTATGTGAAGATAACTAATAAACTCAGGACTATGTCCATGGGTAATGGTGACTCTAAGGCACAGAGTCGCAAAAAGAGGGTCATCATGAAGACTTTCTTGGTACCGGCCATTTTTACTTTGTGTTTTTTGCCTTACCATGCAATACGAATCCCATACGTTCTGGCTCAGCTGAACGTGATCGGGGATCTTCATAGCAAACAATTGTTGCACATCTTAAATGAGAGTACCTTGCTACTGTCCACTCTAAATAGCTGCCTAGACCCAATTATCTATTACTTCTTAAACAGTGCGTACAGGAAAACCATACTCTGTGCCATTCAGGGCAAGTTTAAAAACATGTATGCTTTAAACAGAAGGAGAATCAGCATAAACCGCTCGCTTACTGAAATTTAGCCTTAATGGATGACTTTTCCATTTGTGACTACATGAATCAAATTTTGTAGCCTTAATGGATGACTTTTCCATTTGTGACTACATGAATCAAATTTTGTAGATTCAACAATCTAAGATATTTAGTTTTAAATTATGTGCACTATTGATTTGGGCACACATGACTGAATTTGTTTCATATGACCTAAAAAAACCAGTGCAACACTTTGCTGTTATTCTAAAATGCAGGAAGTTATAATGAATTAAAAATAAGCAGGTGTGTCTAAATCTTTGGTAGTGTAAGTGTGTTTAAGAATTCCTTGTGTTTCTGTAAATATTGAATATGTAGCTGTAGCATTTGCACAAGCATTGTTCTCAAATGGGTTCGCTTTGATTCAGATTTTGTGGTGGTCCCAAAAACAATAACAAAATGGTTTATCTAAAATTAAGAATGGATATATGTATGAAACTGCACAGGCCCAACAGCATGTACAGTTATTTACATGATATAGGCTAAATAGAAAAATGAGAGTTTGATTTCTAAATGTGTTATTTCAGTGCTTTTATGTTTTCTGCAGCCACACATTAAAAACAAATTGTGTTTGACACAAATCCTCATAGTTTATCCTCATCGTAAGTGAACCTAGAGGGTCATTTTTTTGTTCATTTATCATATTTTTGGGGATGTCACAGAACATGTCAGTGTTGGCATCTGTATTATTTGACTAGCTTCTACCAAGTAACATATTAATCTAACGCTTTTTAGATGCACAGCTGAGCTGTTGACTTCAACAACAAAATATGGGAAGCATTACCAATCAATTGAGAACCTCTGTGCTTGAGTACTCTGACTGTTTATTTGTGGATAGACTTTTTACATTTCCTTGATTAATGTATTTTACTGAGAGCATGACCTTTATTTATGCAAGTACGTAAAAAAAGACCTTTGTAAATGCTGTGGTTTTCCCTTGTGAAAAAGATCCGATGTGGTTGACATGTTTACTGTTGTGTTATGAGTCAACCATGTTTGTGGTGATAAATGTATCCACCAATGTTTAAGTGTTAGCCTCCAACTTTCTGTTTTAACATGAAAGTAATGTGGGGAAATGTTTATTTAAGGATATTTGCACTTTTTATTTAAACAATAGGCAAATAAAAAATGGTTAAATGTGTGATTTTATTTTATTGAGACTTAAGTAACTTAAAACTATTCAGAAATTAGCCATGTTTAAAACTGTATTAGAAACCTGATAAATATGAAATGGTGCATGGTTTTATGTTATAAAATGTACTTTTGCACATCTGTATTATGGCTAAAAGCCATTATTGTAATTGTAACAAATATTGTATTGTATTGTTCATGAGAATACAATTTTAAATAAATACAATTTAATTAAATTATCTCAGTGTGTAAGGCAAGGCAAGGCACTTTTAGTTATAGAGCACGTTTAAAACAGCCACTGCTGACCAAAGTGCTGTACAATCACTCAGTTCAAACAATATACAATACATAACTACACCACCAACCGACACAAACACATCGTAAACCCATCATAAAAACCCATCATAAAATTACATTTGACCAAAAGCCAAAGAGAAAAGATACGTCTTTAGTGAAGATTTAAAACTATCAACAGTGGAAGACAACCTTAGATGTTCCGGCAAATCATTCCACAGACGCATAGCAGTGACAGAAGAGGCACGATCATCTTTTAATTTCATTCTAGATCGTGGCACAGTGAGCATCAACTTGTTCGACCCTGCTCCTGGCGATCGACTATCCTGCACGGTTCATCTCCAACCCTAATCAAACACACCTGAAGCAACCAATTAAGGTCTTCAGGATCACTTGAAAGGAAAGGCAGGTGTGTTTGATTAGGGTTGGAGATGAACTGTGCAGGACAGTCGATCGGCAGGAGCAGGGTTGGGCACCCCTGGTCTAGAACATTTCCTGTGGAGAAGATAAGTGTATTGAGAAGCCTGGCCATTTAACCCCTTAAAAACGTACAACAATACCTTGAACTTGACACGGTATTCTACGGGCAACCAGTGAAGCGAAGCAAGAACAGGCGAAATATGTTCGAGTACCAGTAAGAAGCCTGGCGGCAGCATTTTGCACGTTTTGTAGGCGGGATAAGGAATACTTAGCCACCCCAAAGTACAGCGAGTTACAATAATCCAGCCTGGATGAAATAAAGGCATGAATCACTGTCTCCAAATCGTTTACTGTTATAAATACTTTTAATTTCGCAATAGATCTAAAAGCTACTTATAAAGGCTACTCCTCACCACTGAGTTAATTTGTTTGTCAAATTTAAGGCCGTTATCAAAAATCACTCCCAAATTTTTGGTATAAGCATGAGAGTTCCCACTTAAAGGACCCAGTTGTTTTTTAAGCTGTATATTAGAAGCTGGTGATCCAAAAACTACAATTTCGTTTTAGAGTCATTCAATGTTAAAAAATTAGCTGCCAGCCAGCTTCTTACCTCCTCAAGACAGTTCAACAAAGACTTTACCGAAAAATCGAGCCTAAAGGGAGCAAATACAACGAAAACAACAGCGGGCCCAAAATAGACCCCTGAGGTACACCACAAGTTAATGGTACAGAGGTGGAAGAAAAATTCCCAACCTCCACAGAGAAAATGTTCTATCAGAAAGATACGATTTAAACCAATTCAATGCGGTACCTTGAAGTCCTACACAGTTACTCAACCGTTCAAGCAAGATAGCATGGTCAATGGTATCAAACGCAGCACTGAGGTCCAAAAGGAACAAAATTGCGCAGTTACCCGAATCCACAGCCAGCAAAAGATCATTCAACACCTTCAGCAAAGCTGACTCTGTACTGTGATATTGTCTAAAACCAGACTGAAATTTGTCTAATAAGTTATTCTCACTTAAAAATACCGTCAATTGATGGAAAACAGCCTTTTCCATTACTTTTGATAAAAATGGTCATTTTGAAATTGGACGATAGTTATCTAAAATATAAGGATCTAAACTGGCCTTTTTGCGGAGTGGATTCACTACTGCATGTTTCAGGATTGATGAAACGGTACCTTGAGATAGGCTGCTGTTTATAATAGTTAAAACAAAAGGTTCAACTACACATAACACTTCCCTAAAAAGACGAGGAGGTATCACATCCTAGGTGCAAGAGGAAAGCTTCATTTTATTGAAAAGCTCAACAAGAAAAGTAGAAGAAATAGGCTCAAACTCAGTTAAGCAGGCCGAACATGGGTCATTAGCAGGTGTGTTCAAATCAAACTTGGGGATACAAGAGCCGAATAGTACTAATTTCATCCACAAATTTTTTTAAAAATGCATCACAGATTATAGGTGTAGCATCGGGAAATGAAAATGAATTTGGGTTTAGTACATTATGTATTGTAAACAGAGTCTTTGGACTGTGAGCATGCTCTGCTATCAGCATGCTCTGCTATATTAAACAAGTCAATAATTTGAAAAAATTCCTTAACCAAAGGATGAGAGGGACAACACACATGTATATTAAAATCGCCTAAAATTAATAGTTTGTCAAAATACAGTACCATAGAAGATAAAAAATCTGAAAATTCCTGCAGAAACATCTTATTATAGGAGGTCGATAAATCAAGGCACAGAGAGTATTTGAACTTAAGATCAGTGTATCAGTGCATTGTTTGCTGCAGAAAGTTCTGTAGCTCTCAGCTGATATTTTAGGATGATAGGTGAGCTTGATATGATGCTCAAAGCTGCTGTGTGAGTTGAAAGTTGTCATTTGTTTCTGATCAACAGATCTGAGCAAACACTGATGAAATCATCGGGGGTTTTTCTGCAGCGTGTGGGTGACTTGCAGGATCCCGTTTCTGACTTGAGAAGTTTCGAGTTCAGATAATTTTCCACTTAATACGCCCCGTCATCTATTTAATACGCGCTGCACATACTTGCACATTTAAAAAGCGTTTTATAATGTAATATTATGAACAGAGGCAAAACCTCGGAACTTTGCAGTCTTTATATTTAAAGCTTTAACATTTTTAATCTTTTGTGTTCCATGGGTTTGGTGCAACATGGATGATGATATAATATTCAGAGCAAATTATCTGTGAAAGACTTGCCTGATCAGTCCCTCAGTGTTTCTTATGATCCTGGTGTGGTTACATGAAGTGAGAGGTCACAAGTGCATTTGCACGTATGACCTTTCATAGTTGGACATTTACGATCTCAGAGAGTCAGCTGCTCGCACCACAGTTCCTTCATCTCTAAACACATGTTCCTTCTTTCTTGTGCCTCCTTAAAAGAATTGTCCCCCAACAATGACATTCTTTCATAGGGCTGGACCAAGCCTTTATGGGACCCTAAATAGAATTTTAATATGATTGACTATTGTCAATGCTTGATTATTCACAGACTATAAATCCAACACACCCATTATCAATTGTATTAGTTTTAGCTGTGTTGCTAACATCAATGTCTGCCTAGCACGTTTTTACCCTTCTACGGTTTTTAATTGTAACATTAGCTAACCCAAAAGAGTGGCCAGGTGTTAATTTTCACTTTAATATTCAAAGTCGTACAGTACTAAGTGGTATACTTAATGTGGTGTACTGAAAGTAGCTAAATAAACCAGCTGACAATGCATTTCCTGTAAACAACCACTTTACTTGCTTTTGGTAAAAAAAAAAAAAGAAATATGCAAAAGTGCAGAACAATTACAGGTTGTTGTTTTTTTTATTCGCTTTGGTACTATTTTCACAAGTAAGGTGTACATTTTCCAAACCCTTAGTACAAAAATCCAAACTGATCTCACTTGTAACACAACTAATCATTCTTTCAAAACCTGATGTAATGCTTTCATTCAGTTGCACATATTTTCAGTCCACATAATCATTGTTACAAACACAATATTATTGTAATATGTAATGAGAGAACATTTGGTTTAATCACCGAAATACAACAGTATGTTATTTTTTTAATTTAGTACTTTTAACAATCAGTTCATTCAACAGCAAAAAATGCAAGATACATGTTTCAAATCACCCTTGTTGCTGAATTACAGTCAAAGGAACCATCAATAGGCTGGTCC